AAAACCTATAAAATGTTATAACTAAGCCGTAAATAAAGATATTAAAATGAAATTTGGCACAAAGGATCGCACTAGGGAGGGGCATATTTGGACGTACTAACTTGTTTGTACATATCTCGAAAACTACTATAGCTATGTCAACCAAACTGTATAGAGTCGTTCGTTTGTTTTAGGCATTTCCATATACAGTTCAAAAATGGAAGAAGTCGGACAATAACCACGCCCACCTCCCATACAAAGGTTATGTTGAAAATCACTAAAAGTGTGTTAACTGACTAACATAAAACGTCAGAAACACTAAATTTTACAGAAGAAATGTCAGAAGGAAGCTGCATCCAGGGTTTTTTTAAAAATTGAAAATGGGCTTGGCGTCGCCCACTTATGGACCAAAAACCATAKCTCAGGAAGTACTCAACCGATTTCAATGAAATTCGGTATGTAATATTTTCTTAACACCGTGATGACATGTACCAAATATGGGTGAAATCGGTTCACAACCACGCCTGAAATCTCGATTATCACTTTATCATGCGAGAGTATAAAATGTTCGGTGACACCCGAACTTAGCCCTTCCTTACTTGTTTTATATTTTATTTCATTCTGTGAAATTAGATGCGGCACTGTTGAACATTCTGGTTAATCAAATAAAGGATCGGTTGTCTTTCCCTTTGCGGTTTCTGTAGCTAGCTAGCTTTGAAGAGCTAATCGATTCTTGTTTTTCATCGAGACTCCAAGATTCTGGTGCTTTTGGAATAGGAAGTTTTTCACTGTGTTTGACAGGTCTTAAAGCTGATTGTAAATTACAGTACTTAATCGTATGTTATTCGTGAGGCAAAAATAGCAGTCTGTAACATGATCTTTAGGTTCACTGCAAAGGGCATTTTACGATTTGAACCCCTTTTACCAAACTGTTCACGATGTTACACAAGTTTTACTACAGATATGAGGGCCCCATGCTTTGTCTTGGTCTCCAACTTTAACACCAAAATACAGTTCGTAAGCTTTTAGCACAATCGGAGTAAAATTACGTTTTTAAGATTTAAAGGTTAGTTCTCAGCATACATTACAAAAACTGTTGGCACTATTTACGCACTGCCTAGGTATTGTACCTAAAAATCTTAAACACGTAGTTTCAAAAACGTTAAAGAATGTGAATTCAAAAACGTTTTACTATCCACACACAGAAACCGTAACCGATTCCAACGCCGTAAGTGTACTGATAAATTGTGAAAAATACGCTGTTTACTTCAAACAAATGATCGTGTGAAAATATGAGATGATGCAATATAATGAAATTTTATGTATTGTAAAATCTAAAGCCGCAGGTTAAGGAATATCTGTGAGTGATAGAAAAATTCTGCTTTCAAATTTGACTTCAGGGTATAAAATTGCAATAGAAACACTTAAGAATTTTCATGCCACAAATTATGTGTATACCAATGTAATCAGAAATCAGCGTCAGTTGCCACATGATGGCAGTTTAACGCTGGTATCTAAAAAGAGATTTTTATCTGAAAAAAAGAAATTAAGAGAATTTATTGAAATACCACCAATCCCGATTAAGTGTTGCAACCAAGTAAATATGCCAGAGAAATGAAATTTTACACCCAAGATGGTATGAAAGAGATTTATGGGAGCCGGTCTAAAAATTGGATCATAGGCGTGATACCGCCTACTTTTATATGAAATCCCATATCTCGGGTCCTGCCTAATCCACTTCGACAAAAAAAAGCTTATGGTATTCTTCTCACATTTCTCAGTGATTTACTCAGTGTATCTTTTTGCCTTAAATAGGTAAAATTGGGCGAAAATATGATCTAGCCCTCAGTCAACTAATATACACTGATTTTCGAACATCCGGCTGACTTTACTCAGAATGATTGGTGATGGTATGTGAGGTACCTTAATGAAACTCAAGGAATATTTTGTAAGTATATGCCATGGTTATAGTACGTGGTACTGGCAAAAATAGATAAAACATCCCATATGCTTTATATTATATTATGATTTTAACTTTTCTAACAAACCTTTTGAACCATATCTCGGTCAATATCCAAATTTACGCAGTCAGACCGAATTGAATTTAGCCTCTTTGGTCGAGTTAATATCACATACAGATCACTGATTTGAAGATGTTTTTAATATAACTTTAAATGAACATTACTAAATTATAGCAACTAAACTAAATTACATTCTTTCGCACATATTTTAACATTAAGTTTTTCCACCGCCTGAAGGAATTTCCTGATTGTGTGATACTTAAGCGAATGGTTACTTAAAAGAACAGGCACAGGCAGATTAGAGGCACTGGTACTTAGGCGGGGTGGTACTTAACCGGGCTTGACTGTATAACCTATGTTTTCGACGATTTTATTTCAGTTTTCTTCGAAGAATCCTGATTAAAAAATATAACCGGCATTATAAATATATATGCCGTGTATTAGTTTTATTATTTATAACTCAAGAACGGGTGACTCGAATTGGCTGAAAATTGGTGAGGAGGTGGCCAGAAACAGCGGACGGACATATATAACACTTTTTATCTTTTTACTTAAAATTCAATACAATTCAGACAAACGGACAGACGAACATGGCTAAATCGACTCAGCTCAACTGATCCATTTTAAATGTACTCTTTCTGGGTGTTACAAACTTCGTGGCTAACTTAATATACCCTGTTCAGGGTATAAAAATAATAATAACAAGACAAATCTACTTTGTAGCTTAGTAAAAAGCTAAAGCTAAGCTTAGCTAAAAGTACAGCAATTTGAATATAAATGAATTATACCGATTGTAGGCAATGAACAAGGCCGTTTTTTTAAGACACACCATCTGGAACTGGTAAGACATTTTTAATATCAATATTGAAAATTGCAATGACAATTGCGTGGCCATGTAATCATTCAAAGAAAACTAAACGCAACATCTAACATAAAAGGAGTAAGGGAGGGCTAAGTTCGGATGCAACCGAACATGTTATACTATTGCAACTGCAAGAATCAAAGACAGGGAAATAAGTACTTTAAGCTGTAAAACCAATCACATATATTATATTACACATTGACCAATCAAACGCTACATAACTGTAAGCATTGGGTCCCCATGTGCAGTGTCTATTGGCTTGAACAGTTTTTATTGGATTTAAACACTTTTTGGTCATACCATGGCACACACTGAAGAAATTATTCGGCAAAGTTTTATCCCGATATATGAATTTCTTCTTGATTTTTGTACTGGAAAATGAACCAACTGGAATTTAGAATTGTGTTATATGGGAAGTAAGCGTGGTTGTTGGCCGATGTAGTTCATTTCACAATGGGGGATAAGAATTTATGAATAATGCCACGTAGTAAATTTTGTTGAAATCGGTTGATCGGGGTCACGCTCACTTTTTCAAAAAAAATTTCCTGCACGTGCCTCTGGCCACTGTGATCCTCTGTACCAAATTACAGCTTCATATCTTAATTTAGTACTTAGATATGACCCTTTTTTTTTTGTGGGCGTGTCAGTGGTCCGATTACTCCTATCTACGAACTCGATTTTTTTTGTACTAAGGAATCCACATTCCAAGTTTCATCGAGATATCTCAATTTTTTACTCAAGTTACAGCTTGCACAGACGGACGGRCGGACAGACAGACAGTCAACCGGATTGCAACTTTTCCCGTCATCCTGATCATTTATAAGTATATACATATATAATCCTCACTTAGTTTTAAATGATACGTGCAACCGTTAGTTGAACGAAACTATAATACTCTGTAGCAACTGGTTGCAAGATAATAAAAATTGTGGAATAGCTGCAGTGTTGATAAAAAGTTTAATTATAATTTGAGATAAGTGCAGAATAACGCAAGGTTTAAATGCTGGCGATGATGATTTTGGTGGTGCTGTCAAACCCTTGTATGGGATTGCCAATCTTCACAAACATGTGCACTGCAACAAAATACATAGTGAATCAAGAAAAAAACTTGATTAAGTGAGAGTAATGACAAATGAAATGTACTATTTTTCCTTTAGAAATTAATTCTCTATCTCTTCTATAACATATTTTTTATGCCAGTTAAATTAAATGTTATACACTCGCAATTTCTAAGGATTATTAAGATATCTTATCAAATAAAAAAGTGTTCCATATACGTATGCTACAACGGTCTTATATCGGCGTTTCCGGCAACGGTTGGAGAGTTTTGAGACTAGTTCGCTAAACATGCAGACAACAAGATAAGACTGGCTAAGACTTCTTTCTGGGTGTTAAAAACTTCTTGGCAAACTCAATATACCCTGTAAAGGGTTGTATATGGTTTAAGATTGTATATGGCTTAAGCCAATCCATACCACGTGACATCTAAAAGCTAGAAAAAAGTTATCACTGCTCAATCTAAGAGAAACAATCCTGTTTAAAAAGGGATTACATACTATATGTATCTGCAAATACAACAATTTTTCGCTCGTTATTATTGCTAACTTTAAAGATGATAAATAAATACTATTTACAAATTTAATATAAGGAGGAATATTAAGGGTACTCATTACCATAACTGTGGCATTTAAATAATAGTGGCAAGGGGGCAAAATGCCAACTTTGGTGAAATGAGCGCTCCTTGGCAATATTGCAATAAGTCAGCTGTTTTTAATTTTTCTATGATAATTTTTTTATAAATATCTAATAAATTCATTATGAATTAATACAATATTATATTTTACAGCGATGAAGCCAAACCGCGAGAAATGAGTTATCCACTGATTGTGATTTGCAACAAATTGCAATGAATGCCACTGAAAATAATCTTTAATAGTTGCAATTTTGGCGCAAAATAAATAACATGACGAAATGAACAGCGGTTTTGCAATATTGCCATTTTGTGAAGTTGGCAATAAATGCCACAAAAGTTGCGACATTAAATGAGTAATAATATTTTATAATAAATAATATTAAGAATTATTATAGCAGATACAACATTTAAATATGTTCAATGAAAGGATTTTGGGTATACATACATTTCATACCTGGGGTAATCAGAGTGGATACCCACTAACGCCTCGGCTGCTTCTTCGTTGCATCCCGATGAGTTCTGTTCCCGATTCGCTATAGAAGGTGTTTTCATCGAGCCAGGAATTGAGAGAGTCGACGCTGGTTTGCGGAGCTTTTGAATCACCAAATCAATTGTAGTGGACGTTTCATTAAAAATGGACATGCAATAAAATATAGAATACGTTTGCTCTCTTATTTAAAGTTTTATTCATTATTTAATAATATAGTTATTTTGRAATGTGCATACTGTGCATATCATCTAAGTACTATAATTACATTTACATGTTTACAAAAATATCTGTGCATTATCAAATTTAAAAAAATTAAAATTCGTGATTAACATAAGCAAACAATCGGTTGCTTTTTATAAAAATAATTAATGCTATTTTGTAGTTCTGTAAACCAAGCCGAATTTGTGCTAATATGTTTGTGGAATACTTTGATTGAAATTTACAGTCAAAATAAAATTATCAATAAATTATATTTCAATTATAGATAGATATTTATTTACTGCAGGAAACTTAAGAGTCTATAGGTTTCGCAAGGTGTGTTAGTACAATAACGTTGTTTAAAACTGAATGTTTCGAGTTTTAATATTTTTTCGAAACTATGTCAATCTGTCAATCACAAGGGTAATAAAATTTGAATTTCTTTAAATACTCATAGTAATTACGAACTTATTTTTTAAAAGGTTCCTTGCAACAATATGTTAGGTAGCAGTGTGGGATTTTGTTATCGGTTCGATTAGATTTCGTAGGGTTTTTTTTTTACTTTATATGATTAAATCATTTAATTTTCAGTCTTAAGGAAAATCAGAAATGATCTGCGTACAAGTAATTAAAATAAAGCAACACTAGTTACAGAAATAATTATATATACTTTTTATAAAAACAATTTTTTTTTATTTACATTATATTAAACATGTAGTTTTTTAATTAATTTATCGACGATGAAATATAAGCAAAAGAAAACATGCGGTCTGTATATCGAGCGCGGTATTGGCGCGAGAATTTTTTCGAAAATGAGTTTTTTATAGAAACTAGTAATTTAAGACGTAAGGGATCTATCCCTGTTGATGTTTATCTCCAAAAAGAAACCGTTATAAAGTTAAAGCAAGTGCTAAAATKATCGTAAATACATACATTTTTAAAACCTTAACGGAAGCGACCCCTAGCGTTTTTATATTAAGTGCCTTGCGCACAATTTCATGTCGTGCAAGCGACAATACTTGTTATCGCAACCGACATGAGTGCTTGACCTAACGGTGTTTACTACTCGTATATGCAAACCATTCTTGTACCTGTCGTCACATGTTTATTTCCATGAAAGGTTTGATGAAACAAACATCGTTCTCATTGGATTATTGTTTAAAAATAGTTTGACGCATAATCAAATTTTGTGTTAATTGAGTTATARTCGTACTGTAGATAGTAAACACGACAGTTATCAAATAAATCAACAATGTCGACTCCAGCAGCTAAGGTATGTATTATATTTTAATTTTGGTTATTGAAATTTTATTGCATATAATATTCTCTTATTTATATTATTTATGTGACATTTGTTTTTGTTTGTTATTGTTTTTTATAATCCCGAATAAAGGAAACTATGCAGTTAATATCACCACTCCTCTTTACAGAAGAGAGTAATCCTGAAAGTGCTTTTCCCGAGAACATACAGCAAAATACGTTAGTAATAAATCAATTCTTACTAACAGACAGCATCAATGATATTGACATTGATCCAATATTAACTGATACGACATCAGCATCTTTGATCGATTTSTTTTRTAATACCGATTTAAATTTTGAACAAAACACCAACCAACATGTACCATTACCTCTAAACAAACTTGTTGATTACAGTGATTCTGATACTGATAATTCTTATACTTTAATGGATTCAGATAACCAAAACAAAGTGTCATATGTAGACATAACATCTTCCAGTGATTSARATGAAATTGAGTCAGCTCAAAAAATGGAAGAAGAAACGAGTGTTGGTAAAAGAGGATACAGGAAAATAAAACCTTTACCGAAACGCCTTTTATCAAAAAAAAAAAAAAAAAAATCATAATGCTGCTGTGGGGAAATCTGTGCAACCTAATCCTTGTATGAATAAACAACACTCATGTGCAAATAAATTTACTGAAGATGATCGGATTAATATTTTAGAAAATTATTGGGGATTAGGTTGTGATAAAAGGCAAAAAGATTTTCTGCTATCATGTGTGAAAGAAAGACCGATTGGTAGAAAAAGAGCTAGTAGTAATKTTCGCAAAAGATCATACGAATATTTTATAAGCTACAATAGACAGAATATTAAAGTATGCCAACAATTTTTGCTGAAGACCCTAAATATATCTCAAATGTCTYTAAGATATACCATCGAAAATGCCAATAATACTGAATACCACTCGCGCAGGCAGAAAAAATCTTCGCCCTCATAATAAATCTTATGAAGTAAAAGTGGCACAGTTAAAATTGTTCATTGAGATGTTGCCTGCTGTTCCATCCCACTATTGCCGCAATAAAAGCACTAAAGTATATTTACCTGAAGAATTTCAAAACATATCGTTTTTGTATACACTGTATGTTGAYCACTTGAAAGAAAAGAATCTTGAATCATCAGTATTATCAAAAAGAGTATTTCRTAATATTTTCAAAACAAATTTTAATATTGGATTCCACTTGCCTAAGAAAGATAAATGTGCGTTTTGTGAGAAGTGCAAAAATTTTTCACCTGAGGACAGAAATATTTTTGAAGAAACCACTGAATATAAAAATCACATTATGAATAAAGAAAAATGTAAGCAATTGTTTTTAGAAGACCAAAAAATTAGCAAATTAGATGACTCAAACTCCTTATGCGYGAGCTTTGATTTAGAAAAAGTCCTCAATACTCCACATGGCAAAAGTGTGACTTTATATTACTCGAGAAAATATG